GCAACAGTTCCCATCATGCACAGCCCCTCAGTTCCCATCATGCTCAGCCTGTGCCAAGCCCCGTTTTTTGCATCGCTTCCCCCTTTATCTTAAACTTGGGAGTCGTAGTCCCATTCAAGGAGGGCACCTGGTTGGGAAGGGCTGTACTCTTGGGCACTTTGGATTGTGGGAAAGAATAAACAAGCCAGAGAGAATCTCACTTGTAGAAATTAACCTAGGTTTGTTTACGTTGAACGAGAGAGCCCGGAGGGGGCTGAGTTCGTATGGCATGCTGAACTGATGGAGTTTTAACCTGGGTTAATTCTTAGTTTGCTTTGCTTCTGTCTTAATATTCTTCAAAGTCAGAGCTGGAAGAAATATTAGAGGCCATCTAATCCAGCCCGCTGCCCAAGCCAGTAACCTGTTTCACTGGCATGCCTGTTAGTTAGCCTTAAGCCAGTGTTTCTCGACCTTGGCAACTTGAAGATGCGTGGACTTCAACACCCAGTATTCCCCAGCCAGCGTTAAGTGTTTCTCGACCTTGGCAACTTGAAGATGTTGAAGCTGGCTGGGGGATTCTGGGAGTTGAAGTCCACACAACTTTAAGTTGCCAAGGTTGAGAAACACTGGTGTGGGAAGTTCTCGTCCTCTCTACAGTAGCTGTGAGTTGTGCACACTTTCTCATTTGCTAATTGGCAAGCATAAAAACCGGATCTTGCAGTAACCGGGTTTAACGTGTTGTGGGAACACGGCTCCCTTCCCCGCAGAACCTCCTGGCCTCGTACATCCTGGCACCTTGGCATTTCTTTAACTCTGTTTGAGTTTTCCCTGATTCTCTTAGTTGAGTTCAGCCTTGCAGTTTGCAGACCAGCTTTGGGTTTTTTTTGGGAGGGGGGGGAAGAAGGAGGCTAAGCCAGCTGATCACTCTTTGTGGCTAAACAAACTGGGGATCAGTGCAATGTGGGAACCCGGCCTCGATTTGCGCATGCTGAATCTGTGACTGGTCTTGTGCTTCCCAAAGCAAGCCTGGTTTTGCACGGGGATTGGTTAGCGTGGAATTTTGTCTTTGTTTTTATTTGGGGGCAGGACGGAGTGCGGTCCGGGACACTCTGCACATTGTTTTTGATTTTCATGCGCAGGCGCAGCGCATCCTGGTCCCGTGTTCTTGTTCTCTCTCTCTCTCTCTCTCTCTCTCCTCTCTCTCTTTCTCTTTTTCTCTCTGTCTCTGTCTCTCCTCTCTCTCCTTCCTCTCTTCTCTCTTTCCTCTCTTTCTCTCTCCTCTCTATCTCTCCCCCCTCTCTTTTTCTCTCCTCTCTCTTTCTCCCTTCTCTCTCCTCTCTCCTCTCTCTCTCTTTAATGTCTCCCCTCCCTCTCTCTCTCTCTCTCTCTCTCTCTCTCTCTCTCTCTCTCTCTCTCTCTCTCTCTCTCTCTCTCTCTCTCTCTCCCTTCCCTGTCTATTCTCTTCTCTTTCCCTGATGGAAAAGTTGACTTCACATCTCAGCCCCATCTCTGGGGCCCCTCACGTGTCCAAGCTGCTCAGAACCGCTGGCCAAGCAAACTCACACACATCGGAGACCAACACTTACACACACACACATATATACACACACACACACACGCACAGCCTCCCACCCAGCCAGTTAGCGCAAGAGCCAGCGGAATTCAGAAGGGGCTTCATTTCGGTCACAAAGCCAAGTTCAGTTTTCAAACTAGAACTAGCCAGTTGCAGCAAAGTGGTTTTTGTTTTTTTTATCCATTTGCACACCAGGCTGTTCTCACATGCTCCACAGTGGAAGATCCAGCAATCCCTCAGCTTGATTAGGATTAAACTGTGGTGAGTTTCTTGGAGACTTAATCTGCTGTGTGAACGCAGCTTGTTTGGTTAGTTTATGGTGCAGATGTATTGTGCAAATGCAGAACATGGATTACAGGGGTAAAAATTCCCGATTCGTCTTTGAATCTCCAGTTGAAATAATGCCTATCAGGAAAGCTATTTTCCTGCCTGACATCCAGTGGACAATCTCGGCTTATTGTAGAGTACTCTGATTAAATGATTATTCAGAACAGCGTTTTTTTTTAAACTTGGTACCCTTTAAAATGGGGGGCACTTCCCCTCCGAAAATTCCCCACAAAGCAGGCTGGGAGTTGAAGTCTACGCAACTTAAAAGTCACCAAGTTTGGGAAAACGTGATTTAAAATAATAGGATAATAAAGCGTAGAAGTACAAAATGAAATGTAAAGTATTACGTATATTTCTAAATTCATACTTAATAAATTTAATTACAACTGGCTTTCAAAACTAAATGTTAAGAGTCCAATTATAGTGCCTTTTTAAAAAAATAAAAGTATAAAAGTAGTCCTTCGAAGAAAAAACGGTGTGTTGGACAAACCACAGTTAGTCCTCGACTTACAAAAATTTACTTCGTGACCATTTGAAGTTACATCACTGGAAAAAGGGACTTAGGACCATTTTTCACACTTGTGACTTCTGTAGCATGCCCATCCTCATGCGATCAAAATTCAGATGCTTGGCAACTGGTTCACACTTAACGACGGTTGTTGTGTCCCAAGATCACGTGAACCCCTTTTGATAAGCAAAGTCAACGGGGAAGTCGGATTGTTAACTTAACAACTGCAGTGATTCATTTAAACCCCGGGGCCGAAAAGGTCTTAAAATGGGGCAAAACTCCCCTAACTCACTCAGCAACATAAATTTTGGGCTCAAAGGCGGTCGTTAAGTGAGGACTGCCTGTATGAAATGGAGTCTGGCTGCCGTCCTCCAAGCAGCAAATCTGGCTTGGGGTCACGGTTCAAGGCTCAGAAAGTTAGATAAGCACGAGGTGGCGAGTTCCAATCCTCCCTCCGGCATCCCGACCAGCTGGGCGACGCTAAGCCAACATTCACTCCCAGGTCTAGGAACCGCTTCCGAAAAAAACGTGGCCAAGAGGTCTGCTGGGACGTGGCCAGGCCACGGCTGGCAATCAGCGCGCCGACTGGAGGGGATGAAAACAGCCCCTAACGTGGTTCGAAGCTGCTGCTTCTTTCTCTTCTTCGGCAAAGTGTCTGTTGTGTTGGCTATTTCAGGCAACACAACACGGTGGAAACTTTGAGGCAGCCCACGCTCTCGGCTTCCGGCCTGGCGGTGCGCAAATCTTTTCCAGAAGACACAAGTTGACACCTGCAGTGGCGCCTCTGTTTTCGTTGTGCGTCCAATTTCTGATTCATGCCTTGGTTTACGTGTAAACAGGCACACACAAACACACCGTTTGACCCCCCTCGGCAATCACCATTTTGGTCTTTGTGGGCTGATAAGGTTTCTTATTATGTTAGTTTTATTTTATTTTTTAATAATAGTAATAATAAAGTTGGAAGGGACCTTGGAGGTCATCGAGTCCAACCCCCTGCTCAGGCAGGAAACCCTATACCATTTCGGACAAATGGCTGTCCAGTTTCTTCTTAAAAACTTCCAGGGTCAGCGCATTCACCGCTTCTGGAGGCAGGTTGTTCCACTGGTTAATTGTTCTCACTGTCAGGAAGTTTCTCCTTAGTTCCAGGTTGCTTCTCTCCTTGCTTAGTTTCCATCCGTTGCTTCTTGTCCTGCCTTCAGGCGCTTTGGAGAATAGCTTGACTCCCTCTTCTTTGGGGCAGCCCCTGAGATACTGGAACACGGCTATCATGTCCCCCCTCGTCCTTCTCTTCATTAAACTAGACATACCCAATTCCAGCAACCGTTCCTTATATGTTTTAGCCTCCAGTCCCCTAATCATCTTTGTTGCTCTTTATGGCAGCCCCATAGATGTTTCCAATGTCCACTTTTTGGAATAGAATGGAGCTGGAAGGGACCTTGGAGGTCTTCTAGTCCAGCCCCCCTACTCAAGCAGGAGGACCTATACTACAAGAGTTTTTCAATTGATTGATGGAAACTAATCAAGGAGAGAAGCAATTTAGAACTAAGGAGAAATTTCCTGGCAGTGGGAACAATTAATCAGCGGAACGACCTGCCTCCAGAAGTTGTGGGTGCTCCATCAATGGAGACTTTTAAGAAGAGACTGGAACAGCCATTTGTCTGAAATGGCATAGGGTTTCCTGCCTGAGCAGGGGGTAGGACTAGAAGACCTCCAAGGTCCCTTCCAATTCTGTTATATTCTGTTTTCAAAATGTTTAACATGTACTTTATTACTGTTTTGTTACGATGTCTAGTCACACAGTCAGACCTGATCTGGCATTTCTGTCCACCTATCAAGTCCTTCCCAAGGACCCGGGAGAGGCAGATATTCTTGTCTGATGGTGTCAAAAGCATTTGTATTTATTTTAAATAAATTTTAATAAATTCTACAAATCGTTTATGCCGCCCATCCTCCCCTATAAGGTGATTCTGAAGCATCATTGTTTTAATGATTTGGAGACCTAAGGAGTCTGGAGACAGGGACCCCATTTCAGAACTGGGTGGTTTGAAGACAAAGAAATGCAGCCGGGGGCAAATAAACTACAGGTCGTTAAGTAAAGCAGTCACTAAGTGAAACCACAATTGTACTTATGATCTGACTTCAGCTTTCCTTTAATTTCCAGACCTGCAAAGGTCAGCAAGGCAAGCACTGGTTGCAAAGTTCCTTTTTCCACTGTCACAACGGTGAACCGTCACTAAATGAGGCAGTCGCTAAACAAGGACTATGTGTGAGCCGTTTAGCTATAGCGGTGTCAAGTTTGGGCTGATGCGTAGGAGAGCCAAAGTTCCTTTCTCCACCGTCGTAAATGTGAACGGTCACTAAACGAGGCAGTCGCTAAACGAGGACTATGTATGAGCCGTTTAGCTATGACGGTGTCAAGTTTGAGCTGATGCATAGGAGACCCAAAGGTCCTTTCTCCACCGTCATAAATGTGAACGGTCACTAAATGAGGCAGTCGCTAAACAGCTAGGTCGGGCCGATGCATAGGAGGCCCCAAAGGGGAGACTGGCACATGCAAAATTAACAGGGGTGTCTCTTTCTCTCTGTTTCTCCCCCCTCCTTGCTGCAGTGGTCTGTCCTTTGCCTTGCATGAATGGCGGGCAGTGCACATCTGGCAACCACTGTCTGTGCCCGCCAGAATTCACCGGCCGCTTCTGCCAGGTGCCCGTGAACCGCCAGGGGCAGCAGGCGCGGGCCCCTAGCGATGGGGCCCCCGCGGAGACGGGCTCCAGCAAGCACGCCATTTACGCCGTCCAGGTCATCTCGGATCATCACAGTGACAGCCCCTCGGGTCCGGGTTCGAAAGGCACCGTGAGCCACTCCACCTTTATGGTGCCCCTGGGCCATCACTCCTCCGAAGGTAACGGGCAAGAAAGTGGGGGCTGGGTTCGGGGGCTGCTGGGGGGGGTTAGGGCGGAGCGATGAAGCCCCTCCGAGGAAAAGCAGATTTTTCTCCAATACTGGCTTAATTGAGCCAATGGCTTCGATATGAATATATAGAATACTTATTCCGTCGTCACGAGCCAGCGTATTTCAAAAAGTAACCTATAACTTACTGTATATGTCGTTTCTTGGATTCCTCAAACCTTGCAAAATGGACTAGATAGTTCCATCAGTAAAAGAGAATATTTGTAGGATTGAAGGGTTGAAGGGAGGGGTCCTGGGTGGTCTCTGAGCCTGGTTTTCCTTGCAGATGTTTCATGACCCAACTAGGTAACATCATCAGTGCTAGAAGGGAGGGGTGAGTAGTAGTAGTAGTAGTAGGAGGAGGCGGAGGAGGAGAAGGAAGAAGAAGAAGGAGAAGAAGAAGAAGAAAAAGAAGAAGAGGAGGAGGAGGAGGAGGAGAAATAACTATGGGGTCCTTGCTGCTTTCTGAGCGTGGTGGTTTTCTTGCAGACGTTTCATGAGCCAACTAAGTAACATCATCAGTGCTAGTAGGGAGTGGGGTTTGTGGAGAGGAGCAGGACGACTGTGGGGTCCTTGGTGCTCTCTGAGCTTGATGGTTTTCTTGCAGACGTTTCATGACCCAACTAGGTAACATCATCAGTGCTAGAAAGGAAGTGGGGTTATGCTTGGATAACAAAACGTCTGCAAGAAAAATAACCAAGCTCAGAGAATAACAAGAACCCCAAATTTATATTATACGTGTACCACAGTATTATGAGTATCTTCCATATATTTTTACTGCTGTTATCCGTGTCCTGTTTGCCATACGCTAAATAAATACATTAACTCCTTTGTGAGCTGAATTTGAAATTTGGGGACAATTCTGAGCACTGACGGGCCGAGCAGAGAATCTTCGAGCACGTGCAGAGGGTTTTCTGTCTCCTACGCCGGGATTTAAAGTGGACCCCGCCTCTTTGTGCCCTGTAAAATGCTTGCTCAAATTCCCAGCCAATCGTTCATCTGCTAGCTGACGAACCAAAAATATATATATATAAGCATCGATCAAGAATTCAGCGCTTTATTTTATTTTAATTTTAAATTGATACGTACATCAGTTGTTTCACTGCGGCTGCAAACGGCATTTGTAACAACCCGTTTTTCCTGTTTCCAACTCATCCTAGTTTATTTTTGGGCTCCCAGTTCAGATGCATCAGCCGCTGGTCAACGTCCGGGTCCATCATCCGCCGGACGCCTCCGTGAAGGTCCACCGGATCGACAGCCTCAGCTCGGAGGGGAGTGGGCCCGGGGGAGCCCACCATCTCATCCAGCACCCGGCTCCGAAACCGGCCTACACTCGTCCCCCCGCCCAGAAACCCCTAGGGCGCTGTTTTCAAGAGACGCTGCCCAAGCAGTCAGTGAGTGCAACAGGATCTTAGCCACTACTGTATTTAACCTGTAGAAAATCAAGCCTCCCTGTTCAAGAGCAGTGTATCTGATCCAGTCAACATCAAGGCCAAATAGCGGAGGAGGAAGCCTCTAGTTCAGCGTGTTGCGAGCTTGGGAACTTTTAAGATGAGTGAACCTTAGCTACGCCGGCTGGGGAATTGTGGGAGTTGAAGTCCACCTGTCTTAAAGTTGTCAAGTTTGAAAAAAAACAAAAACAAATAAAACACCGTTCTGGCTGGATCGCAGGATTAGATTTATTTTTATTCTCACCCATCATCAAATTTCACGTGTACAAAGCAACACACTGCTCTCAAATGTTGTGTGCTTCCCTCAGATCTACAGTATGTGCAACTAAACCTTGTAGTAGCTTAAGGGGTGGCGAAAATTACATAAAACTAGGAAGAAAACAGCCTGAGACCTAATCTAACAGACTAACCCCACAAACTTCCCAACCCTGTTTTAGCCTAGTGTGGCCTGTTGGTGCCAAGGCCAAATCAGTTTGGCCTCACTGAGGACTAGACGCTTAAAGCACAAGTGCTGATTCTCTTTCCGTCACTGGGGAGAATGAGGTTGGGGCAGGACCGAGGTGGGGTGGGGAACCTGGGGGCTGGTTTATTTCAGGAGAGAATTAGTGACTTTGGTCTTTTCTTTCCTTCTTCCCTTCCCTTCCGGTGTGGACCTCAGTGTGGGAGCAACCCGCTTCCGGGTCTCACGAAGCAGGAAGATTGCTGTGGCAGCATCGGCACCTCTTGGGGCCAAACCAAGTGCCACAAATGCCCCCATCTGCAATGTAAGCCTCCAGCCGGGACCTTGCACCACCCAGCGATCCAGAGCAGAGAGACTTGCCCTCAATTTGTGCACGGCTTGTCCCGGGTCGCCCACGGACCCCCCACCACCACCTCCCCATCCTACACTCCTTAGCTTACTGCGCTGCTTCTCCGCTCTGCTTGAATTTTGGCAGGATTTTCAGCCCCAGAGTGGGGAGACCCATCCACAGCACCCCCAAACTCACATGGGGCCTGCTCCAGGCCTTTCGGGGCCTCCCACACCCCTTTGAGACACCCCTCACTCCTTACTTGTGCCTTGCTCCGCTTAATGACCCGCAGGATCGTTTAATGACTGTAGCTGGGAGGGCCGGGATTGCGGTCATTGAGCAAAGCGGTCGTGTGACATCTTGCATAATGACCGCTTTGCACAATGACCAAGATTCCGGTTTCAGATGTGGTTGTAAATTGAGAACAAATCTGCACAACTGACACACATGTGCAAGAATTGTCTGGATTACAGCATATTCCGGGATAGTGTCTTGAGGCCGTGTGATTTGTTGTTTCCAAAGTCCGCTGAATCGAGACCCTTGAATTGTTTAATGTTATTTTTTTTTTATAATTCAGGAGTTAGAATGAAACTAGTAAAGGAATGTGGGAGACTTAAATGCTCGCTGTATACTCTTTTTTCCAGATCTGGGCGTGCAAAAGACGATGGGGAGTGATTGTCCGCAGGGATACAAGCGACTTAACAGCACTCACTGCCAGGGTAGGCCTTCACGAGCGGGGTGTGTATGTTCCACGTCTGTTGTGTTTGGAATTTGAATGTCGGTGAATTGGAAAATAAATAAAATCTGCTGTCACGGGTGCCCTTGCTTCAAATTGTTTCGAGAACGTTTTGACCCTGAGTTCGAGTCCTGCATCAGGCCTCCCTTTCTACTGGGTTGTGGCACGTGGGACCTGAGGTGAGGCATCCAATTGGCCTCTACGTGGGGGATAAGTAACCTCGGAGCAGTCTTGGGATCAACTGGAGGATAGCGGCAGGAATACGACCAGACTGAATTCTTAACTCTGGTCTGGGGTTGGACTAGATGATCTCCTGGATCTCTTCCAGCCAAACCTTGTAATCTATGAAGTTTTTTAGTATGCTTTTGGTCACGTGACCACAGGGCACATTTAAAGCCATTCAGGCACATTTATCTCCATTGGTAGCATCCTGGCAGCCACGTGGCTTCATTTCACCACCGTTTTGCCCAAAATTGGAATTTCCTTGTGGGTTTTGGAAAAAAACCACTCCCGTCGCAAACCGTGGGTTCATTTAACCACTGCTGCCAAAAAAAGGGTGGGGTGATCCAACTTACGACTGTGATGGCCAAACTGTATTATGATCGTAACTCGAGGACTACCCCCGCCATGGCAGCATGAATCAGGTGAGATCGTACCCAGAGATCCTGCCCTGCCTGCCGCGTGCCACCAGGTGCCAGGAACGGCCCTTCCATCCCGCTCCCCATCGTACAATCTCAGAGAGCGGAAATTGAAAGAGCCACCCTGGTGAGTAATTATCTTTGCCTTTTTCTTTCCCACAGACATCAATGAGTGTGCCATGCAAGGCGTGTGCCAAGGAGGAGAGTGTTTGAACACCCAAGGAAGCTTCCGTTGCGCGTGTAAACCAGGGCAGGTTTTGGGACCTTCGCGCACCCACTGTGTGCGTATGTATCTCGACAGGTTGGGGTGGGGGACTTTCATCTCTCTCTCTCTCTCTCTCTCCCTCTCTCCCTCCCTCCCTCCCTCCCTCTCTATTCTATTCTATTCTATTCTATTCCATTCTCTATTTCATATTCTATTCTATTCTATTCTATTCTATTCCATTCTCTATTTCATATTCTATTCTATTCTATTCTATTCTATTCTATTCTATTCTATTTTCCATTCTATTTTCCATTCCATATTCTATTCTATTCTATTCTATTCTATTCTATTCTATTTTCCATTCTATTTTCCATTCCATATTCTATTCTATTCTAATTTCTGCATTCCATTCCATATATTCTATTCTATTCTATTCTATTCTATTCTATTCTATTCTATTCTATTCTATTTTCCATTCTATTTTCCATTCCATATTCTATTCTATTCTATTCTATTCTAATTTCTGCATTCCATTCCATATATTCTATTCTATTCTATTCTATTCTATTCTATTCTATTCTATTCTGTTCTGTTCTATTCTATTCTATTCTATTCTATTCTATTCTATTCTCCATTCTATATTCCATTCCATTCCATATTCTATTCTATTCTATTCTATTCTATTCTATTCTATTCTATTCTATTCTATTCATTTCTGCATTCCATTCTATTCTCTCTCATCAGAATGTGGATAATATATTGGGACAAAAATGATAACGAGTTGCAAACAAACTAAAATCAGAATAATAGAGTAAAACTGGAGAGCAAAGAAGAATCTCCGATTCAGTGTCCTTAATTTAACCCAGGGGCTGCATTCCCGCCACACAACCCCTGTCGCAATGGTGTTGCCGGGTTTTGGGAACGCCGGGGGTGGGGCAGTTCCTCTTTTTCCCTGTGAACGTCTGCCTTCTCTGATCTCCTTCTCTGTCCCTCTTTTTTGGGGAGCCCAGCGGAGAAAGCCGGGGAGAGGAGCCTGTGTTTCCGTCTGGTGAGCCCTGAGCAGCAGTGCCAACATCCGCTGTCAACCAAGCTGAGCCGGCAGACGTGTTGCTGCAGCGTGGGCAAAGCCTGGGGCGTCCATTGCGAGCGATGCCCGGCCGACGGAACGGGTGAGTCGACGGGCAGGATCTGCTCCTCCTCCGTCCTGTTGGTGGCTTTGACTTCTCTCTCCGTCTTCGTGCTGTCCTCGCTCGGTATTGTCTTCCGAAAGTTGGGCTCCTTCTCTTGCTCAGACTGAACTACCGGCAGTCCTCGGTTGACAGCCGTTTGTTTAGCGACCGTTCGAAGTTACAGCAGCACCCAAAAAAGGACCGTTACAGTAGGACCGTTTTTCCCACTTACGACCGTTGCAGCGTTCCCCCGGGGTCACGGGATCAGAACTCACCCTGCTTCGCAACTTGCATTATTTAGAACAATTAACCAGTGGAACAGCCTGCCTCCAGAAGCGGTGAAGGCTCCAACACTGGACGTTTTTAAGAAGAGATTGGATAGCCATTTGTCCGAAATGGTATAGGGTTTCCTACCTGAGCAGGGGGTTGGACTAAGTGACCTCCAAGGTCCCTTTCAACATTATTATTATTATTATTATTATTATTATTATTATTATTATTCATTAGACGAGAATCTCAGTCAACTGAACGTTCAAATTGACTGGCGTTGATGGTTGACACGGGTTGCTGCCAGCATCCTAGGTGTCAACCAAGTATCTCCTTAAAATATAAGATGTTCCGAGTAAGCGCAGTTTTTTGTAACATTGCTAGAGTTATTGCAGGAAGCTGCAGTTTCTTGAAATATTTTGCAAAGTTTTTGGACATACTGTAGTTCCCAGTGCCCCGATGACAATGGGTATCGCTGTTACACGTTTCATCCATAATCGCGCATCTGACTGTCTTGTTTTTCCCTCCCGGCTGAGTAGCAGCGTTCAGAGAAATCTGCCCTGCGGGGAGAGGCTACCACATTCAGACCTTGCACCAAACTCTGACCATCCAAGGAGAGAGTGAATTCCTACTCCAGATCCACCCAGACGCTACTAGTGACGTGCCACAACCACGCCCGGAGCCCCCCACCCCTCCCGCCCTGGGCAGCGATTCCCAGGAAGCAGAAGGTGGGTTTGCTGGCGCGGGAAGGGAAGGCGGTGGGCTTCTGGGCAAGCTGAGGGTGTTTGGAAGGTGAAGGGAGGGGCTGTGAGCGCATTCACAAAATGGCTGCCTCGGTATGTATGACTGGTGCGATACAGACAGCCCTCGACTTACAAGAGTTCATGTAGCGAGTGTTCGAAGTTACGACGTTGAAAAAAGTGACTTATGATCATTTTTAATGTTTATAACTTGCAGCATCCCGATCAGAATTCGGACGCTCGGGCAACTGACTCATATTTATGACGGTCGCAGCGTCCCGGGGTCACGCGATCCCCTTTTGTGACTTTCCGATAAGCAAAGTCAATGGGGGAAGCCAGATTCACTTAACAACCATGTTACTAACTTATCAACTGCAGGGATTCCCTTAACGACGGAGGCCTGAAAAGTCGTAAAATGGGACATAACTCACTTAGCAACTGCCTCACTTAGCGAGAGAAATTTTGGGAAGTCGAGGACTATCTGTGTACTCATGGATAAGCTGAACTCAATATTTGGGTGTATTTCAGCAGCTAAAAGTTTTGACTTATCTTCAAGTAGATACGGCATTAAAGTTCCTTTTAGATTCTGTGTTTTTGCATTCTGCTTTTCTGCCAATTTTTCTCCCCCCAGTTCCTTAATCTCAGCTACCCAAAACCAGGGCATTTTGTTCCCCTGCGGGTTGTGGTTTTAAAACCAATTTTCCTTTCAGGACTACTCCAGTCCCAATAGCTCAGCTCTACCAACAACTGCGTAAAAAGTGGCCTTTTGCATTTGATCTTGCCACAGTGCTCAATGTAGCTTGACCTTCAACAGCATGAGGTCTAGAAACTTGGCTTTTTTTCCCCGTAAAGCAAACCCTCCCAGATAAGGACAAAATCTAAAGCTGAGTTTTGGAGGCTTTTATGTCAGAGTGACGTGAGTTTGGATTAAAATCATAACTTGGGGCACAACAGGGTGTTTTTTTTGAAAGCTGTTTTATAGATTTACAGTGGTTGTTTGACTTGGTTTAATGCCAGCCGCCAAAATCAAATGATTTACTGCAGTCTTAAAGAAGAAAGAACCTTTTCTGGATTTTATAACTGCAGAGATTTTATTTTATTTTTTATCTGAGGGTGAGTTTGTTTCTTTATTAAAAAAAAAAAAAGAATAAGCACATTCCTGGACTTTATGATGGAAGAGGTGTGTGTGCTGCATACGAAAACAAACAAACAAGTTTCTAGTCCTTGGGATTCCAAAAAGGCCACTTCATTGGCAATTGCTGCAGGCAGAGAGCAGCATGTAAAAACAATATTTTGCTAGTATTTTTTAACAAGCTTTTAGAAAATGCCACAATGGAACCGGATTGGACTCCGGTTATTGTGGAAATGCAATTTCCCATGGTCGCGTGATCCAAATTCAGACGCTTGGAAATTGACTCATATTTATGACGGTGGCCGTGGTCCCAGAGTCACGTGATCCCTTTTTTGTGACCTGCTGAGAAGCAAAGTCAATGGAGAAACTAGGTTGACTTAGCAGCCATGTTACTCACTCAACCACTGCAGTGATTCACTTAACAACAGTGGTCATAAAATGGAGCAAAATTCCTTTAACAACTGCCTCACTTAGCAACATAAATTTTGGGCTTCGTTGTGGTCCTAAGTGTAACTGTAATCTGAAGTTGTGGAGGTTTTTAAGAAGAGATTGGACAATCATTTGTCTGAAACGGTACAGGGTCTTCCGTTCGAGCTGTGGGTTGGACTAGATGACCGCCAAGGTCCCTTCCAACTCTTCTGTTATTCTGTTATTACTTTAGGCCCATAGAAGAATGGCATGTGTTCTCATGGGCATGAATTCTCCTCAGAAGTTCTAATCACTATTCTGTCTCTGGTTTATGTTTTGCAGCCGTTACTCCAGCGATGGTAAGTGTGAAGTCCACTGGAGAACTGTGGAAGAGGTAAAAAAAAAAAAAAAACTGTGAAAAAATAAATGAATGGCCATCTTCAAATATAACGCAATCTCAAATGGTTGCTGATTGGAACGTGAGCCACCAGGAGATGATAGAAGGTCATTTGAATCGGTCTTCTGCTTTTCAACCTATTCGCCAAAGCACCAGAAGGCAGGAGAGAAGCAACCTAGAACTAAAGAAAAAATTCCTAGCAGTGAGAAAAATTGCGTGTAGTGATAAATCTCAAAAGCATCTACAAAAACGCAAATATATAACCATAATTTGATTTTTTTAACCACAGTTGTTCTGAAGAATCATCCGGTCAAAGGAATATAGGTCGTCCTCAAGTTACAACGGTTCCTTTAGTGACCGTTCAAAGTTACAACATCACCGAAAAAGTGACTTATAACCATTTTTTCACACTTAACAGCCATTACAGCATTCCCCACGGTCACGTGATCAAAATTCAGACAGTTGTCAACTGACTCACATTCACGATGGTCGCAGTGTCCCGGGAATCATGTGATCGCTTTTTGCGACCTTCTGATAAAAATGGGGAAACCACATCCACTTCACAAACATGTAACTAGGTCAGGGGAATATATAGCTAAGCAGCTTATTATGTAATGATGTAATGGATTATAAGGTGGATGATGCAATGATAGGAATGACTCAGCAGGGTCTGCATCTCTTTAAGAGCCTGAGTATAAAAGGGAAGGCTTTTGCTGGAGTGTCTCTCTCTCTTCTATTTCCTGCTGTAACTGTGGTGTGTTCGAGACTGCTGTATTAACGCGTGTATGTATACTGTTCCTGGTGTATGATATTGTAGATAGTAAAAGATACACCACCATTTAATATAGACCACTGTTTACCGTATTTACTCCTGGGTATCTCAGCGCAATAAAACTGTGCACGCTCTGACAAACTAACTTAACCACTGCCACGATTCACTTAACAACTGTGGCAAGAATGGTCCTAAAGTGGGACAAAACTCGCTTAGCAAAGGTCTCGCTTAGCGACAGAAATTTTGGGCTCGCTTGTGGTCTTAAGCTGAGGAACACCTGTATCTTGTCTTCCTGTTCATTGCCTGTTCTTCTCTTTCCTTCTCGACATCTCCAGTTACCCAAAGACACGACGATTTCGGAAGAGCAGGGGGTAGTTTTCGGCAACACCCCGACTTTGGGTCCTCGGTACCCCGGTAAGTGAGAGCAAAACCACTCTCAGTACCGTTTCCCCAGCCTTGTTGGGGGGCAGGAAATTTTCTTAACGGGGGTTCCTTTGTTCTTTGCAGTGGTGATCACCAAGCCGACCGTCGCAGTTGTGGTGAAGTACCCCGAAGAAGACAGAATGGATGAATTTTACATGCCCCCAACTCAAGAGACCGGTGAGCCCCCCTCCCCCCTGGCCCAGATTATGTTCCTTCGTCCTCTTTTCCAAAAAGAAAGTTTTAGTTTTTAGTCAGTTTAGTTTATTGATTAGCCCATAGGGCTTATCAAAATACAGAGTTCCAAACATATAATATTAATAAAATCCTGTACAAATCGACACACTACAAAATGAAGCCCTACAGCACCTTATATAGAATCAACACCAAAAAATGATGTCCTTATCATCATGGGGGATTGGAATGCTAAAGTAGGAAGCAAAAAGATAACCGGAATAACAGGCAGGTTTGGCCTTGGAGTACAAAATGAAGCAGGGCACAGGCTGATAGAATTTTGTCAAGGGAATATGATGGTCATAGCAAACACTCTTTTCCAACAACCCAAGAGACGGCTCTACACATGGACACCACCAGACGGTCAACACGGAAATCAGATTGACCATGTGCTCTGCAGCCAAAGATGGAGAAGCTCTGTACAGTCAGTAAAAACAAGACCAGGAGCTGACTGTGGCTCAGATCATTCATCTTCTCATTGCAAAATTTAGACTAAAATTGAAGAAATTAAGGAAAAACACTAGACCACTCAGGTATGAACTACCGTAAATCATATCCCTGATGAATATACAGTAGAGGTGACAAATAGATTTAAGGAATTAGATCTGAAAGTGAGCTTCAATGGACTCCAGAAGATGGTAGAGGACAGGAAGGCCTGGAGGAACGTTGTCCATGGGGTCACGATGGGTCGGACACGACTTCGCAACTAACAACATACAAACAATTTAAAATGCAATTGGAGTAAAATACAATAATTTAATATTTAGACAAGTAAAATAAGATTAAAATTATATATCAGGATCACCCCTCCAATCTAGCCCAATCAGTCCCAGATATACTGATGTGGTTCCCAATGGCTCATTCGTTTAATATCTGAACCAAGGTATCTGTCTGTCACCGTCTCATACAAACAACAATCAAATAGTATGTGAGCCAAGTCTTCTACCTCTAATAGTAGTAGTAGTTTTAAAAAATACAGTAGTTTAAAAAAATACAGTAGTTTTAAAAATGTTCATACAATGACCATTCCAAGTTAAAACAGCACTGAAAAAAGTGACTCAGGATGGGTCCTCGCACTTAACGACCGTCGCAGCATTCCCCCCCTCCAGTCACGTGATCAAAATTGGGGCGCTTGGCAACCATTCAGATAATCATGTGACCTTGGGACGCTGTGCCCGTCATAAATACCTGCCTTTGGCCAAGCGCCCAAGTGACGGGGGGGGGGGGATGCTGCGACGGTCGTAAGTGCAAGGACAGAGGTTGTAAGTTACGTTTTTCACCACCGTCGTAACTTGGAACGGTTGTTAAACGAGGGTCATAAGTTGAGAACAACCTGGGTTTAGATTTCTTTTCGTTTGGAATGTCGTGGCTGGGCTCCCAACACTGGAGGTTTTTAAGAAGAAACCGGACAGAGTCTTCTGCTTGAACAAGGGGTTGGACTAGTCACTAGATGACCTCCAAGATCCCTTCCAGCCCTATGATTCTACGTTTCTATGATTTTGGGCAGGGGGTTGGACTAGAAGACCTCTAAGGTCCCTTCCAAGTCTTCGATTCTATGTTTCTATGATCTTGGGAAGGGGGGTGGACTAGATGACCTCCAAGGTCCCTTCCAACTCGGTTATTCTGTATTCTGTGTTGAAAAAAACGGCCGGTGTCGGAACTCTTATAACTCTTTCAGGCCGTTTCCCTGCCTTTCTCTTCCCACACAGAGGTGGACATCTGCAAATTAAACCACAACATCTGCAGCCATGGTGAGTGCATCCCGACCCGGACCGGATTCACCTGTCAGTGTTACCAAGGTTACCGGTGGCATCCTCAGCACAGGTATTGTGTAGGTAAGAGGCAGCTTCCTTCAAAAGTTTGAGCTTGAGCAGGAGGTTCAATCGGAATAGGGCTGGAAGGGACCTTGGAGGTCATCTAGTCCAGCCCCCTGCTCAAGCAGGAGACCCTTCTCTCCTCCTCCTCCTCCTCCTCCTCCTCCTCCTCAGAATAACAAGAGTTGGAAGGGACCTTGGAGGTCTTCTAGTCCAACCCCCTGCTCAAGAAGGAGACCCCATACCATTTCAGACAAGTGGCTATGCATTCTTTTCTTAAAAACCTCCAGCGATGAAGCCCCTACAATTTCTGGTGGCAAGCTGTTCCACTGGTTAATTGTCCTCACTGTTAGGGAATTTCTCCTTAATTCCAGGTTGCTTCTCTCCTTGGTTAGTTTCCATCCATTGTTTCTTGTCCTGCCTTCTGGGGTTTTGGAAAATAAGTTGATGACCCCTCCCTTCTTCTTTGTGAGATATTGGAATACCGCTATCATGTCCCCCCCTGGTCCTTTTCTCTAGACTGGACACACCTGGTTCCCGCAACCGTTCTTCATATGTTTGTGTCCCCAGGCCTTGAATCATCGTAATTGCTCTTCTCTGCTCTTTTTCCAAAGTCTCAGCATCTTTTTTGTAGTGTAAGGTTGGACTAGAAGACCTCCAAGGGCCCCTTCCAACTCATTCTGTTACTCTTGTTATTCATCTAAGAAGCTTCTTCGGTTTCTGAACAGTTCTGAACAGAACTGAAGAAGCTTCTTGGATTAAGAAGCGAAATGTTTTCAATGGAAAGGAAAAAAAACAACCCCAAAAATCCATTTGTCTTTTATGTAGAAATAGACCTTTGAGATTCCTGTTCTTTCCTTCTTCCTTCCCAGATGTAAACGAGTGTGAATTGGAGCTGTGTGGCCATGGGAAAGGCGTGTGCATGAACACCGGCGGGTCGTACAATTGCCACTGCAACCGAGGCTACCAGCTGAAGGTGCAGAAGGGGATCCGATCCTGCTCAGGTGAGACTTCCAAGAACTTGGTGGATGGAGGGAAACTAGTGAAGGGGAGAAGCAGCCCAGAGGAAGCAATTTCCTGACAGTTGGAACAATCAATCCGTGGAACGAGTTGCCTTCGGAATAGCAATAGCCCTTAGACTTATATACCGCTTCACGATGCTTTACGGTCCTCTCTAAGCGGTTTACAGAGTCAGCCTCTTGCCCCCTGCAACAATCTGGGTCCTCGTTTTACCGACCTTGGAAGGATGGAAGTCTGAGTCAGCCTTGAGCTGGTCAGGATCGAACTCCTGGCAGTGGGCAGAGTTAACCTTAAATACTGCATTCTAACCACTGTGAAGGCAGGCAGGGAAGGAAGGAAGGAAGGAAGGAAGGAAGGAAGGAAAGGAAGGGGAAGGGAAGGGAAGGGAAGGAAGGAAGGAAGGAAGGAAGGAAGGAAGGAAGGAAGGAAGGAAGGAAGGAAGGAAGGAAGGAAGGAAGGAGAAGGGAAGGGAAGGGAAGGAAGGAAAATAGCAATAGCCCTTAGATTTATATACCGCTTCACAGTGCTTTACAGCCCTCTCTGAGTAATTTACAGATTCAGCCTCTTGCCCTCAACAACTTGGGTCCTCATTTTACCGACCTCGGAAGGATGGAAGGCTGAGTCAACCCTGAACCGGTCAGGATCAAACTCCTGGCAGTGGGCAGAGTGTAGCCTGCAATACTGCAATCTAACCACTGGGCCACCGCGGCTCTTTAGAAGTTGTGGGTGCTCCCATCCCTGGAGGTTTTAAAGAAGAGATTGGACAGCTATTTGTCTGAAAATGGAATAGGATTTTGTGCCTAAGCACGGGGTTGGACTAGAAGACCTCCAAGGTCCCTTCCAACTCTGTTATTCTTTTATTCTGTTATTGAGTCAGGAGGGGAGATGCTGGAAACACCCCAGATCTTCCCCTTTGTTCACTCTTTTGCCTCCCTCTCCCATTAGACATTGATGAATGCGCCCGGCCCAACATCTGCGGAGACGGCGGTTCTTGCATCAACTTCCCAGGACACTACAAATGTGACTGCCATGCGGGCTATCGGCTGAAGCCCTCCCGGCAGCCGTTGTGTGAGGGTACGCAGTGGAGACCCAGGCTGGGGAATTCTTTGGTGCTGTCTGAGCTGGATGGTTTTCTTGCAGACATTTCACTACCGCTCTAGGCAATATCATCAGTCTTGCTAAACAGACGCACTGATCAGGGTCAATGCAACCGTCATAAACCGTCATAAATATGAGTTAGTTGTGAAACGTTTGAATTTGGATCACGTGACCCTGGGGATGCTGCAATGGTCATAAATGTGAAAATAGAATAGGAATAGAAAATGGGAATAGAATAGAATAGAAATAGAATAGAATAGAATAGAATAGAAATGTAAAATTAGAATAGAATAGAATAGAATAGAATAGAATAGAATAGAATGTAAAATTAGAATAGAATAGAAAGAAATAGAAATAGAAAATGGGAATAGAAATAGGGAATAGAAATAGAATAGAAATAGAATAGAATAGAATAGAATAGAATTAAGGGATCTAATAGAATTATGGGATAGAATAGAATAGAATAGAATAGAATAGAATAGAATAGAATAGAATAGAATAGAATAGAATATAGAATTTAAAGAATAGAATGGAATAGAATAGGAGACGGGAGAGGAGAAGAGAAGAGAACAAGAGAAGAGAAGAGAAAACAATAAAATGAAAACAAGAGGAGAATAGAAATAGAAATATAGAAACAGAAATAGAACAAAATATAGAATAGAATAGGAGAAAGACATGGGAAGAAAAAGAATGGGGAGGAGAGTCGCTTTTTTTTTAGTGCCGTTGTAACTTTGAACGGTCACTAAGAGAACCGTTGTAAGTCGGGGACTGCCTGTATCCTCAAAAGCCCTCTGTCATCTCACCTAACTTCTCCTTAGGAAAAAAAATCCCCAAAGCAACATTATTTTTTCATCAAATAGAAAAAGGGCAGGAGAAAAATGGCCCAATGAAGTAAAAGTGACTTTGGCAACGTTAGCAGCTTTTATCGGTGCTGACCTATTTTTCTTCTCCAGTAATCTTTTTTTATTATTATTATTTTATTGTTTGCCTTTCAGATATCGATGAATGTCTTGACCCCGGAACTTGCCCTGATGGGAGATGCGAAAATAAACCTGGGAGTTATAAATGTATCCCCTGCCAGCCAGGCTTCCGGGCCCAAAACGGCATATGTTACGGTAAGACATACTGCAACCGGTCTCAGCTTTAGGAAGATTGTCGGACTTTATAGTTGTTGCTGTTTTTTTAAAAAGAGTTTAAGTGTCTAGTCCTCATGACAAAAATAATTATCAGATTTCATCGCTGTTTTTAAAAAGAGCTAAACATCTAGTCCTCATTGTTAAAAACGTCAGCCTTTCTGTTTGTTTTTAAAAAAGTCCAGTCCTCACAATGAAAGAATATTGTCAGACTTTCTGGTTGTTGTTGTTGTTGTTGTTGTTTTTTAAGTCTAGTCCTCGTGACTAAAAATATTGTCACAATTTATGGGTATTTTTAAAAAGAGTCTAGTTCTCGTGACTGAAAAAATATTGTCAGACTTTATGGTTGTTTTAAAAAGAGTCTACTCTTTTTAAAATATATATTGTATATTTAAAATATATTGTAAGACTTTATTGTTGTTGTTTTTTTAAAGTTAAGTGTCTAGTCCTCATGATGAAAAAAGTTTCAGATTTTATGGTTGTTTTGGAAGGTCCCTTCTGGCTCTATGATTCTATAGCATCCAAGCATTGAAAGAGCTCATTGTCCGGTTCTTCCCCCCCAGATGTGGACGAATGCGCCGAGGATGCTGCCTGCAAACACGGCTGGTGCGAGAACATGGCCGGCTCCTTCCGCTGCTCCTGCGGTGAAGGCTTCGTGCCTGCCGCTGATTTCCGCAGCTGCGTTGGTAAATTCCTTTTCCGCATCCCATGCAGAAAACTCAGCTCAGCCCATTGGAAAAATAAATTCCGTTTCTTTTTCCACAATGAAGTGATTGCAGTCTCGCCTCCCAGCTAAACAGCTCACCAGCTGTTTCGAAGCACAGCTCCGTGCAAGTAGCTTCAACTTGCAGACCTTTTGCTAGATTGGAGGATCTGCTGGGATGATTCTGGGACTCTCCCTAACTGAGGAGAGTCATATAAACGAAAAGAATGCCTGATCCTTCTGTTAGTCAATTGAAAAAGCAGCAGTCCAGAGAATGCCCCTCCAAGGAGCCCTCCCTGAGTTAGTCATCGGTCAGCCATCTTCACTAGAAGCCCCAGAAAACCCAGCTCAGTCAATGCTCTTATTTCCGCAAAGCCAGAGTTTAGTGTTTGGCAGTAAACTGACAGCCTCAGCATCCTGGCCTCCCTCGCAGGGCTTGTGGGAGGAAAGATGAGCGAGATGCAAGCCTGAGCAGAAACGGCCCAGACCTGAACTGTGGGAGATTCATGCAATCGTGACCCAGATTCTCTCCTGCTTCATTAAGGGTTCCTTGGCCTTCCAGAGGATGATTACAGTTCCCTTGCTCCCCAGCCAAGATGGGCAAGGGATTATGGAAGCAGTAGTCCCAAGCTTCTGGAAGGCAGCAAAGTAGAATTGGGTTGATTCTTGTTTTCTTCCTGCAGATGTCAACGAGTGCCAGAACGGTTCATTGTGCACCCATGGGGTTTGTGTAAACACACTGGGGTCCTTCAAGTGCCAGTGTCCGGTGGGTTTCCAGGCAGTGAAGGATGGGCCTCGCTGCAAAGGTGAGAGAGAGAAGCGAGGGGTCTTGTATGAACTCCTGGGAAGCGATCTTTGTGGCTGGGAAAGAGAACTTTTGAGCATGTGTGGAAGGCTTGTCTGCCTGTATTTTCTATTCTATTAATTTTTTTATATGCCATCCATCTCACTGTCCAGCGACTGAGCAGCATATACATTTATTAAAATGATAGGTAGGTAGGTAGGTAGGTAGGTAGGTAGATAGATGATAGGTGGATAGATAGATAGATAGAAAATAGATATATAGACAGACAGACAGACAGACAGATAGATGATAGGTGGATAGATGATAGATAGATAGATAGATAGATAGATAGATAGATAGATAGATAGATAGATAGATAGATAGATAGATAGATAGATAGATAGATAATAGGTGGATGGATGGATGGATGGATGGATGGATGGATGGATAGATTGATTGATTGATGGATTGATGGATGATGGATGATAGGTGGATAGAAAGAAAATAGATGATAGATAGATAGATAGATAGATAGATAGATAGATAGATAGATAGATAGATAGATAGATAGATAGATAGATGATAGACAGACAGACAGACAGACAGACAGACAGACAGACAGACAGGGTAAGGTAAGGTAAGGTAAAATAAGATAAGATAGTGGACAGACAGATTTATTGATTTGGAGGCTGAAATGTGGCTATGATTGAGCATTCTAACAAGTACCATGAAAGATAAGAATGCCAATAAGCATGTGCAGAGTTCTCTGTCATTTCCTGTGGATAAATCCTGACCAGCTTTATAACTGCACCTCTCCAATTCGAGATTAATTTTTTCCCCTGGGCTGGGAAACATGACTTCCGAGCAACTCACCATCCTTGCCCTTTTTGCTGATAAAAACGGGGGCATCATTTTTCTTTCCTTTTATTTTATTTTTTCAACCTTTCTGCCTTTCCAGATGTGAACGAATGCGAGTTCCCTGCTGCCTGCATCGGGGGCGAGTGTGTCAACACGGTGGGGTCTTACCAGTGTCTTTGCCGGGCGGGATACCAGCTGGAGAGGAATCGAAAATGCCAAGGTTTGTGTGTCTGTGTGCATGTGTGAGTGAGCTCTTCTCCCGTCTGCTTCGGTAGCAAGTTGGGGCTCACAAGGGACCCCCCCCCCCCGTTTTCTAGAAGGGGCATCACGTGATTTTGACTTGTGTTAACCTTTCCATAAAAGTTTGGGTGGGGGGAAGTCGGAGGTGCAAGGACACCTTTCTGCCTAGCACAAACACGCCCAACGCCTCCCCAGACATCGACGAGTGTGCAAGAGATCCTGACCTCTGCCAGCCCCACGGGGTGTGCGAGAACACCGAGGGCTCCTTCGTGTGTGTGTGTGACGAGGGATTCACGTTGGCCAAAGACCAGCAGAGTTGTGAAGGTAGGATAGCACAAGCAGAGTGCGCAAAGGGGGGAAACGCACCTGAGATGGGAGAAATTCCTCCGGGACTCCCGGTGACGATGACGGCGACGTTTCTCCCCAGAGTTGCCTCACCACAAAAAAGAGTGTTACCTGAACTTCGATGACAGCGTGTTTTGCGACAGCGTACTCGCCACCAACGTGACTCGCCAGGAGTGCTGCTGCTCACTCGGGGCCGGCTGGGGAGATCACTGTGAGATCTATCCATGTCCCGTTCTCAACTCGAGTAAGTTGGAAAATCCTTGTGTCCGATTCTAATTAAATTGAAAATTATCCTTGTTCCAAACTCAGCTTGAGACAGAATAACAGAGTTGGAAGGGACCTTGGAGGTCATCTAGTCCAACCTCCTGCTCAGGCAGAAAGCCTGATACCATTTCAGACAAATGGCTGTCCAGTCTCTTCTTAAAAACATCCAGTGGTGAGGGAGGGAGGGAGGGAGGGAGGGAAGGAAGGAAGGAAGGAAGGAAGGAAGGAAGGAAGAGAGAGAGAGAGAAAAAGAAAGAAAGAAAGAAAGAAAGAAAGAAAGAAAGAAAGAAAGAAAATAGCAGAATAATAGAACAGAGTTGGAAGGGACCTTGGAGGTCGTCTAGTCCAACCCCCTGCTCAGGCAGGAAGCCCTATATCATTTCAGACAAATGGCTGTCCAATCTCGTCTTAAAAATCTCCAGTGTTGGAGCACCCACGACTTCTAAAGAGCCGTGGTGGCACAGTGATTAGACTGCAGTATTGCAGGCTACACTCTGCCCACTGCCAGGAGTTCGACCCTGACCAGCTCAGGATTGACTCGGCCTTCCATCCTTCCACTGATTAATTGTTCTAATTATCAGGAAATTTCTGACAGTTGAGAAAGAAGATGAGGGATCTGGAGACTAAACCCCAATTGACCACCTTTCTTGCCACAGTTACTAAGGGAATCCCTGCAGTTGTTAAGTTAGTCACACCGTCGTTAAGTGAATCCGGCTTCCCCATTGACTTTGCTTGGCAGAAGCCCACAAAAGGGGATCACGTGACCCCGGGAGACACTGCGACCGTCATAAATACGAGTCGGTTGCCGAGCGTGTGAACTTTGATCACGTGACCCTGGGGAAGCTGCAACGGTCGTTAAGTGGGAAATTGGTCATTTCTTTTCCCCCGGGCCGTTGTAACTTCAGATGATCACGATTTTAAAACAAACTATTTATTTATTATCGTGGTTTTTAGTATCGCCTGTTCACCGCCCTGAGTCCCGCAAGGGAGATAGGGCAGTATATAAATTTAATAAATAAATATGAATTGTTGTAAGTCGAGAATGACCTATCCTCTTTTTTTTTAATGGGCATTGTGGTTTGAATTTCACCCGTCTCTTCTTTCTTCCCTGGACCAGTTGAGTTCCACACTCTATGCCCGGACGGCAAAGGGTTCATCCTGGATGAGACGATCCTGAATTACGGCATCCCGACGCATCGAGGTGAGTGTTTGGACGCCCCCGGGCCCCCGAAAGCATGGAGGGTGGAGGCCTTTTGAGGTGGCCTCGATGGGAGCGAGGGGGGGGCATCACAGCATCTCTCTGGGGTGGTGCCCGGGAGGGCGAGCTGTCCTCTTGACCAGCCTCCCCCCTACCCCGTGAAGCTGGACCAAGGGGGCCGGCCGTGGGTCTTGAGGTGCTGCCAAGCGGGGTGAGGAGATGGCTACATATCAAGGTGCGCCATTTTGGTAACGTGGGGATCTGTTTAATAGCCTTCTCTTTCTCCTTCTCCTCCCATTCTTCCTTTTCGCCCCCTGCGTCCTTATCCCTTTGTTCTTCCCCTCGTCTTCCCATCCTCCTTCTCTCTGTCTCCTTTCCCTTCTTCTCTGGGTCACCCCCTTCCTGCTCCTCTTTCGTCTTCCTGCTTTTTCTTTTTTCCATCTCTTCCTTTTTCTTCTTCTTTTTCTTCCGCCATCTTTTTTCTTCTCCTCTTTTCTCCTTCTTCCTTCTCCTCTTCTTTGTCCTCCTCTTCCTGCCCCTCCGTCACCTTCACCTCTTCCTTCTTTTCCTTCTCATCCCGTTTTCCACCTTTCATTTCCGTCCCCCCATCTTTATTTCTTCTCCTCTTTCCTCTCCCTTCTCCTCCGCCCTCACCTCTTTTTTCTTCTCTTCTTCCTTTCCTCCTTTCTCTTCCTTCCTCTTCCTTCTCCTTTTGGTCCTCCTTCCCCTGCCCCTCCTTTGCCTCTTCCATTTTTCTTCCACATTCCCGTTCTTTATCTTTTCATTTCTTCTTCCACCACCACCTCCATCTTTTTCCTTCTCTTGTTCCTTTCCTCCTCCTCCTCCTCCTCCTCCTCCTCCTCC